GTAATGAGACAGTTGCACTAAAGCCACTGTTTTGACTTTTGACTATGTATATGCACAAAAGACTTTGGAAGCAAAAATTACTTCAGCGGGCAGATTGCAAATGGATCTATAGTTTTGGCCCACCTTCGAGCCTGCTTTTTTCGAAATTTCGATTATTTCCTGAATAATCAAACTAAGGCGGGATCCGCTCTGGTCTCTGATGGTAGCCTGTTGAACACACAGCTGTACCAAAGTTCAGATCAATTCGTTGAGAAGCAGATGAACTACGGCAATTTTCAGAGTGGATCTATGGTTTTGGCCAGCACTGTATCTTTTGAAGCTGCAAAGCACAGTCTTGGACTTAGCTCATCCAGGGGAACCGAGAACGATGAATATCCAAAATTTGTCATTCTGCCGAGCCGCTGCCTTTAACGTACGCTTCAAAAACATGGGTACTTACTTAGATACTTAGATGGCCCGTCCTCACGTGATGTGCGGGCCCCAGTACAGAAGTTGCCATTGGTCCCTGTCCCTCGCTTCGGACATCCACGATCTTCTTGGTCGTCGTCGGTGGCTGCGTCCACGAGTTCCAGGGGCGAAAATCGTATCCAGCTGATTTCTCAGCTGGTCCATCCGTTCCAAGAACACGTCTGCCCATCTCGTTGGTGGTCTTCCTCGAGGACGTTTGGCTTCGCGGGGAATCCACTCAGATGTTCTTAGTGTCCATCTGTCGTCTGTTCTTCTCATTATGTGACCGGCCCATCGGTGTTTGGTTTTCGCAACGTATTCCGCTGGGTCACGAAGACGGGACATTCTTCTCATATCCGTGCTGCGAAGTCCGACTAGATGTTGCTTGCGTCGGGTCATCTTCAGAAGACTGCGCCTCGAGCGCTGTGTGTGGTCCTTGAAGCTTTCGACGTGGCTATGTCGGCCCAAATCTCAGCTGCGTAGCAGAGCGCTGGGAGAACGGTTGAGTCGAACAGGTGGGCACGAAGCTCCGGGTCCCTCAGTTGGTCGGTGGCTTCCTTCAGAGCCCCGAAGGCGGCCCAGGCTGCTCTTCTTCTCCTGTTAAGCTCTTCTCTCAAGTCGTTCTCCATGTTCATCGAACGTCCCAGATACACGTAAGAAGACGTCTCCATAATAGGGGTGCCTTCCAATTCTATTTCTGCACCTTCGCATCTTCATGAACTGAGTCTTCTTCCGATTTATTCGCAGTCCGATCTTCTTCCCTTCGTTTATTTCCTTCAGCATCGTCTCTGCTTCGGTGATACTGCTCGAGAAGAGGACGATGTCATCCGCAACGAAGGTTGGATAGGAGTTTCCCATCAACTCGTATGCCTCTCTCTTCCCAGTCCAGTGACTTCATCACCCACTGAAAGGCCGCGGTGAACAGCTTCGGCGAAATAGTGTCACCTTGTCGAACCCCCTTCCCAACTGGAATGGTCAGGGGGTGATGGAATAGCTGCATCGTTGTTGTACACAGAATGGCGTTGGTTTCGACGCTGTCAAAGGCTTTCTCGTAGTCGACGAAGCTTAGGACGAGAGGCAGTCGGTTTTCGCGGCAGATTCTATGACCCTCGAAACCGTCTGGATGTGGTCCATGCAGCTGAATCCTTTGCGAAATCCAGCTTGTTTTTGGGGTTGGGCTTCATCCAGTGTCCTAGATATGCGTGCGAGGATAATCTTCGTGAAAAGCTTGTACAGCACACTCAGCAGGCATATTGGACGGTAATTTCGGTCTTCCCGTTCACCCTTCTGAAAAGAAGGACGGTTCTTGACGTTCTCCATTGGTCGGGAATCCTTTCCTTCTGAAGGTAGGATGTCAGGTACGACGCGAGAATCTCGTGTAGACGTTGTCCTCCAGCTCGCAGAAATTCGACGGAAAGATGGTCTAGTCCTGGAGACGTGGACGTCTTCATGGTCTGAATCGCTGTGCGCACTTCACCAGGTAGAAGTCGTGGTGGTAACTCCAGTGGGAACAACGGGCATCGGCACGGGTGTTGATGAGCGGAAGAGGTGTGTAGAAGTTCTTCGCGATAGATTGTATCTTGTATTGGGAAAAAGTCGGAGTCCCGTCTTCGTTCAATAGTGCAGCCAGCGGTACGTGATATTCACAAAGGTCCCTTCGGCATTTCTTGAGACTTCGTCTTTCGGCTGCTTCCAGTATCTTGGCTTGCCTATACTTTCTGAGATCCTCCTGCAAAGCTGTTCTGCAACTGGCGTTGGCTATCAGTCGCTCGAGATGGGTTGCATTCGGGTCTTGCCTCAGAAATCTTCTTCTTTCGAGCAATTCCTTGGTGATCTTCGAAATACGTTCCAAGTTCTTCTCTGAAGTCACTGAGGCACACTCTCCGCAGGCTCGCAATCCTTTCAGAAGCCGGTCGTAGTCGTACGTTGGGTCCTCCTCGATGGGCCAGTCACATCTTGATATGAGCTCTTCCAGCCTGTTACCGTCATAAACGACTTCCTTCCTTCTCGCGGCACTGTGACAGACTTTCTTTTCCAGCCTTCGGCTGAGTCGTATCTTCGCTCGAAGGAGGCGGTGATCGGAGCCACTGCAGAAGGATGGAACTACTGAGACATCGAGCAAGCTCCACCTTCGGTTGGTGAGAATGTGGTCGATCTCTGCGTGAGTCGTTCCGTTGGGCGATTCCCATGCCCATCGGCGATGTTCTTTCTTTATGAAGATGGAATTTCCATGGAAAAGTCGTGCGGCGGAGAGAAGCCCAAGACGGTTGCCGTTTTCGTTCCGGAGCCCATATCCAAACTTCCCGACCCTATATTCCTTTTCTAGTGGCATCCCGATTTTCGCATTGAAGTTGCCCACAACATACTTGTGAAAGGACTTTTCGTTGCGGATGACCTCCTCCACGTCTTCGTAGAAAGCATCTAGTTTTGAATCGTCAGCTGCTGATGTTGGAGAGTAGCAGTTGATGATGCTGATGGTCTTCTGACGTTGAGGGCGTAGTCGTAGGATGGCTAGTCGAGGTGATAGGATCTCGTGCGAATCGACAAGATGGACGATAGATGGGTGGACGACAAAGCCAACGCCTCCGTTTCATGATGGGACCTTCTCACCACGAATGATGAGCGTCCCATCATTCATTTGTCGCACGTCCTTCTTCCCGGACTTCGTTTCCTGCAGAGCGATGATGTGGTACTTGAGGTGCTCTGCAGCGTCGAGAAGAGCGTGGAGGTCGGCGTTTGTGGAGACTGTCCTGGCGTTGTAGGTGCAGAGCATGAGGCAGTCTCCGTGGCGTGTCGTCCGGGCAAACGTGTCGTTCTTTTCCAATCCAATCCGCCTGAGGATCCCTGAGGACCCTGACATCAGTCTTGCTACCACCCGGCGCCTAGGCGGGATCCGATGTGCAGGGTTTCTTTCTATTCTTCTAACTGGTAGAGTAATGGAATTATTCCCCTACAAGAGCATACTTACTAGACCAACTCTTGATTTCCACGGGGCGATCGCTGACCCCGGGCTTGGAGCGGGAAGAACCGCCTAGCGACCTGAAAACCAGACGGCGGTGGATCTGGCCTGGCCGGGAAACGTCGAACTCCTTCACAGCTCGGGAGGTCCTGCCAGATTATACACTCGGTTGTGCATCGCAGTTCGACACCCAGTGTCACCCCCACGCCACGATGAGGCGGCCGACCATTGTGGGGGGAACATGGGTAATGAATTAAATAGGATGAACAGGTTAAGCGTCATCGAACATGCCTTGAGAGAGGGGTGTTACGAGTGAGCCCACGCAAGTGAGGGAAGGAATACGGAGTTCTATCCTACGACAACGATCAAAAAGATTAGCGACGCCACCACACATGGCAAGCAGAACAAGGATAAGATGGGCCCGACACGTAATGCGGTTTGATGAGAATTGGTGAACGAGGGTTGTAACGAAATGGATACCAATGGACGTCAAACGCGAACGAGAAAGACGGCCGACGCGATAGTCAGACACATATCCACAAAGTCCTTTTAAGAAGTTCTTCAGAGCGCCCCACGTGTTCCTAATGCGATACACAAACACTTTAACAATCGCCCGCGACACGGACGAATGGAGGCATCGTTGGTATCCCGTTCATGCACCACTATAATCAATATTCTTAGAGGTGATACAGATAATAATTTTCAAATTGCGAATATACTCGCACATGTAAATAATCACTTTTGATAGTATTCGATTATTCGACATTTTTGTGTACTTGTATTTACAGCACCAAAATCCGAAGAAGCAACCAACGTTGCATTCAAAGAAGTGCTTGCAGTTTTGTTTCCACAAACTCTTTTGTTAAGGCTTCATAATAACTGCGTGGATGAAAAGTGGATTCAAACATAAGCGGGCCCTTGGTAACTCAGACAGCGGATCGGACCCCTCCGCCGGACCCTCGGAAACTGCCAGGGTCGCGCCGGACCCAGTTGACCAATGAGAGAAGGGCAAATGGGCGGTCCATCGCGGTGGCATCACTGGCAGGCAAATGGGAGGCTTCTCCGGCCCTGCTGCAAAGGTCCGCCATTTCTCCGGCGCGACTCTGCCAGATTTGACGGACTCCGCCGCAGAGGTCTGCGCGGCGCGTGTCCGCCAAATTTGGAAGACACGCGCCGGAGAAAATGGGAGGGGTCCGGAGCAGAAATGGGAGGTATCCGGAGCAGAAAATGGGAGGTATCCGGAGCAGAAAATGGGAGGTATCCGGAGCAGGCTGCGTATCGATTTGGTGCGTAGCAAGCAAACGTCTAACTCCACGGTGATGAGTCCTCTGTTTACGCTCTTTGTCCATATTTTAGTCGCCGTTTCTTTGATTTTGTTGTTTTTGCGCGTTTCTTTACCATTTTTTCCTTTTCCGCGTTGCTCTTCGTCGCGTTGGCGTTTATGTTGTTGTAAGTTCCTCCTTTTCAGGTTAATGTTTCAAATTTTCGTGCGGTTGCACTCAATCACCTTCAGTGTTTGGCTCTTTCCGACTTGCTGAGATATCGCAGACTATTGATGGAGTGGTTTTTGTGTTAATTCTGGATTTTCGAAACAATGAGGTTAGTGCGCAACTATCTAGTGTTGTTGTGATGAAAGTATATCGTCTAAATTATCCGTTTATTGCTACCTCCTCCAACAATTGTTTTCGCGTGCAATCCCCGTGTAGCGGAGCGTTGTCAGCGCTAATGCTTGTTTCAATTCATACCTTGTTAGCGTATTTAGCAAATATGCTATTATTATTTCAAGTTATATCCGCCAGAGTGTCTCGGTAAAAGTGGGAAGTCAAGCAAAGTTTCTGAGCATCAGTTCTACTTGCAAACTTTCGTTATCACCTATTGATTGCACTACTTGTGTTTTCGAAATAGAGAAATCGCGGTCGATGGTTTGCCCATTTCAACTACTGCATCCCCTTGGGGAACTGCGGGCAGATGCGGAAATTGATTGACCAGTCGTAATTGCATGAGAGATATTGATTTGCAGTCGTAATTACACGAAAGATTTCACTTTGTAGGAGTTCGATCGAAAGGAGCTCCATCAGGGTATTAGAAACGGAAAAGCTTGGTTCATTACTGGAAATGTTTTTGGAGTTTATCAGGATAACGGACAATAGATTCATTTTGATCCAAGCTTCTTAGGCGCTTGCTGGGTTTCCTCAAAAATAACTCACTAGAGCAACTCATTTTCATTACTTTTGATTAATCAGAATCACTTGCTCAATCTGATTGTAAAGCCAAAACAATATCACCTTCGTATTTACAAAGCTCGCATTGTCCGGCCATTTTCGGATGTTTACTTCAAATGCACTCTAATCAATACCCTTTGCTACTCTTGTGCACTGTCCTACATGTTTTGAAATTTCGTCTCTATATTGTATTTCAGGAGATTACCTCATGACATAAGACACGAAATGGAGGCGAGTACTAACGTTGCTAAGTGAGTTTGAGCTTTGAGGTTTTTTGAGAGCATCTTCAGAAATCTTTTTCGTGTTCTAAACCGTGTTGGATGGAAATATTACGAAATATTACCATTGCTTGGCTGTCCTTTTGACTCCATACGACTGAACTTGACGGTTCTAGTTTATCAACGCTATTTGTGACCTGATAGCCTTGTTTTTTGTGTTTCAACTTCGATATGTAGACGTACAGGTAGGTTTAAACGTCATACTACCTGCATGTCATGCTTGGTTTCAGATTATTCGCGGTGCAGGACATCACGTCTATGCTGATTCTCCAACTTCTTTCAATGAAGTTGTCCAGACGATCGTTAATGAACAGAAAAAACTCAGTCAGAGTAATGAGCACTCCGAAGCGCAATCTGCAGAAGAGGCAGCATCTTAATTGTGCATTTCATTTCTATTAGAAAGTTCCTATTACTTTCGAACTCTAAAATTTTCGTCATCGTCTCAGGGTAGCATCCTGTCATGAATTGTGTATACACTCTAGCCCGTTTGCGGCGGCTGCGCAAATCGCGTAGGTGAAATCGCGTCACTGGTATAGGCCGTCCGCGCAGGGCGCGGAGAGTGCGCGAGGTGTGTATTGCGCGTCACTCCTCTTTCCCCGTGTACTCTCGCCGCCTGTTTTTCTCTGCGCTTCTTCTATCTTCGACGGACGCAACAGCGTTGCTCTCCGCGCGCAGCGCGGACGGCCCATATGACACCACCTGAGTTATCATCATCCAAATCGCGTCACTGGCAGGTTCTTTTTGTTTTGCTCAAAGTAATATGTTACAGCTATTACTTCAAAACCATGGTCAACTCTCATCCCATCTATGGTGCTGACACGGAGGGATCATTCTATGATGAGAACGTACCAGAATTCATAATGAAGAGGCTTGGGACCATTTTGGATGAAACCAAAGAGCTCAACGGAGGAAAAGTTTGTTTTGTGATCAAAAATCTTTTTTTCTGATAAATACTATAGTTTTTTTTTTCAGGAGATTAGGGGAGTTACCACTGTCTATCTTTACTTCGGTATGTATGGAGCATCTTTTGCATGACATGTGGAGGATATGGAGCTTTACTCCATTAATTATCTTCATTATGGAGCTCCAAAAGTTGGTCATTTTTCCCTATTAGCATACATCTGCGCGGCATTGGAATTCTAGTACTGGTTTGCCGTACCTCCGGAAGCTGCAACTCGCTTCGAAAGGCTCATGCGGCAGCAGTTTCCTACATACGATCACCACTGTAAAGTGGGTATTATAACCAGCTACCTGGTGATTTCACTTTGGTACTATGTGCTTAGGCTTTCATGAGACACAAGAGTTTCTCTGTGCTTCCGGCTCTCTTGGATATGCACAGGATTCCATATGGGACGATGATGCAGCATCCTAATGAGTTCATCATAACATTCCCTCATGTAAGCGCTTATTTCCACAGCCATTCATTTAGTAACATACTGTATTTTTAAGGTTATCATATGGGTTTTAATTTGGGTTACACTATCGCGGAAAGCACGAATTTCGCTACAGATCGTTGGATAGATTTCGGAAAGAATGCTGTTCTGTGTAAATGCCGTTCAGACACCGTAGAAATTGATATGACGGTGCGCATCCGATTTTCACGTTGTACAAATCTTTTTCTTATGCGCTGTTTCTAGCCCTACATGCAGAAATATCGTCGAGATGATTTTGAATGGTACTCTTATTGGTATATGCCTAAGGCAACCCCATGCTTCGATAGCGCTCAGTGCAGTATGTGGAAGCAGAGTTGTGTAGCACATTTCTTTCGATGGCATGATATATCTAGGAAAAAGGAGAAAAGACGAATATGGTACCATTAGACATACAAGACATTCAACCTCCTATAGGAAAAGGCGACGTAGAACCGATGACGATTTTACTGGTAGATTTTCAGTTATTTATTAGTGAAGAGTCATTACACAATATCAGTAGCCAGTTCTAATCCCAAAAATTTTGTTAGGTAGCGTTTTCATCATAGCCTTACAGGAGGCTCATCGTCTTCCGACGAGTTCATCTCCTTACACACGCCGTTGCCTCCGTCGCAGCTGTCCCCATCTATTCTGCGAGCTTCTTGGAAAAACAATATATGTTAGTTTGATTTTTTTTTCTTTTTTTTTGCCACTGTAATGCTGCCTCTCTTGATGGGGCGAGCTTTTTTAACTGTATCTATCTATAATGTGATGAACTTGTTGGTTGCTGGTGTCGCCGCTCATAGTTCTTATATGGACAATTTGGCTGGCATTCAAATAGCTTATTTTCATCAATTGTTGCATAGTATTCGTCTCGCTTGTATTCTAAATGTAATTTTAAGCCTTATTATGGGCGAATGAGTCTGTCAACTTCTTTGCTGAGAAAGCTTTCAACCAGTCTGCTGCTCGTTCGTGGCTACATTGTGCTGTTTGCCAGTACTTTGAAAAATTTGAAATAAATGTCTTATCTCTTCGTTCTTTCTTCTATCTTCTATCCACAAACGCTAGGGGTGAGAGGGAGGGGGTAGAGTACGGGGTGGGGGTCGCTCTAAACTCCTACCCGGGGGGGGGGTCCTATTCGGCTTATTTGGGTGGGGTTTAGAGACAAAATTGGGGTTTGGAGCTTAAAGGCAGCGTCCAGGCAAGTCTGGACCTATGGGTATTTTACATGGAAAGTACTTTTGGGGCCCTATCTAAGCCATTACCCAACCGGCAGCTCAAGTAGTGCTCTAACGCCTGAGATATTCTGCTCGAAACCGGACCCCGCGACCGTGTTTCGCATGGATTCATGGCGCAAAGCGTGGATCCTGGCGCGAAACTGCCATGAATCCATGCGAATACGTTCGCGGGGGGTCTGTTTCGAGGGGAATATCTTCGCCATTAGAGCACTACCTGAACTGCTGCTTCGGCAGTGCCTTAGTTAGGGCCCCAAAAATACTTTCCATGTGAAAGCCCCATAGGTCCAGATCTGCCTGAAAGCTGCCTTTAATTAGGGCTAATTACAGTATGCCGCGATCGGGGGGCTCCGGCGCACAAAATCGGGGGGCTCCGGAGCAGAAAATGGGAGGTATCCGGAGCAGAAAATGGGGGGTATCCGGAGCAGAAAATGGGAGGTATCCGGAGCAGAAAATGGGAGGTCTCCGGAGCAGAAAATGGGAGGTAACCGGAGCAGAAATGGGAGGTATCCGGAGCAGAAAATGGGAGGGCTCCGCCGGACAAATGGGAGACCCACCGCTGGGGATACGCCGCGACCCTGCCACTTCTCCGGCGGAGGGGTCCGATCCGCTGTCTGAGAAGTCTTGAACGCTTCTCAAATCTGCCTTTCATAATTTGTGTATACTTCTTTGCAAGATGTTATTCTTCTTTCGAATGCGTTTACAGCGGCTTGAAAAAAGGTGGCGTGAGTAAAATAAATGCTTAGAAAAGATTTGAGACTATTTGAACTGGACTAGGGAGCCGTGAACTCGTGTACAGGTCAAAGTGAGCAGGCCGCCGAGGAGGAAGGTGTACGGAGCTACGGGAGCATTGTGTTACGAATAGCCAATACCATTTCAGCAATTTTTTTGCAAACAACAAATTTAACTATCCTATTTTCACGCGTATAGAGCGCTAAGGATTTTTTTAAACTCGAAAAAGCACAGACACGGCAGAGGACTTCGCGACCCAAAAAGCACTTACAGTGCTGCATATTGCTTGGGAATATCGTGCGGCATAAGTCTCGTTTCCCGAAACACAACGAGGCGGCTGATCGGCACGCTTGAAAATTCGAAAAAGGTGCTCTTGTACGCATGAAATTAGGGTAACTAAGCATGTTGCTTCTTCTCCGCGCTCTTAGCAACGGGAACAAAAAACTGTGTGTATATTGGGTCAAGCGGTCGCCTCGCTTGGACCATGCGTCGCGTCTGTCCGGGCCAAGCCTCGATAATGCTACAAACATACAGTTTTTGAACCTTTTCATTTCGTTTCTTTTTTTACGCTCTTGGCTTTCAGAAAGTCTCCTGGTATCTTTGTGATGAAGGATCATAGTGGGAGTTGCCGCTACAGCTGTTTTATACAACTAGCTAATAGTTTTTTAGATTCGTAGCTCTTGTTTTGCTCATAGTGCGGTGAAATATGAGCCATATGTGTGTCTCATTTACTCGAATTGTCACTAATACACTAATACTCGCACTTGTAGAATTCAAAATAAAGTTTTATATTCTGAAGCTCCAGATGTCTGGATTTCACGCTGTTTACCTATCAGTAAGTATTTCCTTCACCATGAACATATTGAACAGGAGCGAAAAACTGTACAAGCCGCATTTTTCAGCTTTTTGTATGATCCCCTGATGATCCCCCGCGGCCAGACGTCTTTTGTACATAGTCATTCTTCTTCCTTCAAAGTTGACGAAAACCTTCCAAAATTGTACTGATTATCTAACCCAATAGTGCCAAACATATTGCTGATGAGAACAAATAAGTTTTTGAAACATTGAAATTTTCGATAAACCCCCAACATTCGACTTGTGGTTCATCGCAATCATGACTCCAATACATCATTTGTTCTTATCCGCGACATGCTTAGCACTGTTGAGTTAGATAATATGTCTAACATTGGAAGCTTTCTGTTAGCTTCAAAGAGAGAAAAATTATTTTGAAAAAAAGATGGTTGGCCGCTGTGGATCATCAGCGGATCATACAAAAAGCTGGGAAATGCGGCTTGTACAGCTTTTCGCTCGTGTTCAGTATGTCCATGGTGAAGGATGGTACAGAGAAGTAGACAGCAGTACAGTCGAAGGATTTCCGTCCGGGGTGGGGGGCAGAATTTTTTCATGGGATGAAGGTGCGTAGCGTCAGCCACGCACTCAAAAATTTTTGAGGCGGTTCTGAAAAATTTTGTGGGTCCATAACCCCTAAAAGCTAGAAAAGGGAGCGTGGCGGCAGCCACGCCTCTGAAAAAACATTATAACGCTAATTTGAATTTTTTAGAAATAAAAAGTTATTTTGATTAGTTACAAGAACAAACAAGTCATCTGCACATTTCAATACCCCATGTAATTAAATATCAGAAATTTTGCGACCCACTCTTGGGGGGAGGGGCGCCTCCCCCCTCCATCGGATCGCCACTGGTAGACAGCATAAAATCCAGAAGTTCGGAGCTAGGACATGAAGGTTTCCGTTAGGCTGCGGTCCCCTCACCGGCGGGGAAATTAATGCATGCGGCCCTTAGAACTCTTCATTAAAGCGCAGGTGCCGACGGATTGCCTGTGCACAACGTCTGAGGTTCCAACTACACACTTATAACCAGGCTTGCTGAGGTTAACCTAGAAAGAGACGAAAATGGCGGGAAAATTTTTAATTTTGCGTTAGCGCCGACGACCGAGGTTTGGCAAAATGCTCCGGCGCTGCATCGCAGACGGCGCAGGGTCCAGGAGAGGCAGCCGCGCGAGACCCGAGCTGCCGACGCAGCCGACTTGCAGTTAAGACTGCCTATATCATACCTTTGATTGCTATATCTGGTCATTTCGCTTGTTTAAGGTCCCATGGAGCCCACCATATGGAATATACTTCATCGTGTCAAACCGTCTAGGTTGTGATTAAATATTCGACATAGCTGTTTCAAATAAGGTGCCGGATTTTTTTGCTCTCCAATAGCCATGTTCTTTAAGTAATGCCTCCGATGTTTTTCCCACATCTCTCTACCGCTTTTAATTTTTCCACATGTTTTCTGAAGTAGCCAAACTTTGCATCCCGTCTATCTCAAACTCATAAACAAAAGGTAAGCAAATCAGGTACCGCTCTACAGCTCATTATCCTCTCTCCATTTACTATATTTCGTCATACAGGGTGTCCCAAAACTGTGTATCGGACTTTTGACTCTTAAACCATTGACGACGACGACTAATTTTGCACGGCCGGCTGCGCGACGACGCGACTTTGCGCAACACTTTCAGCGTGGGAATGTTTTGTGATTATTTACGAGGGTAAAGTTGTTTTGTAAACAAGTACGTCACCTTTTTGGACGACGAAGTCTACAGGTTCCAAGAGTGCAAAAAATTCGGAAAATTACTGAACCTGTGGAAAGATACTGAACTTAATGATGATTTTTAGAGGAGTGTGGCCCACCGCTGGTCCACATCGTTCACATCGTCCCTGGCGGCAAAAAGTGCGTGGGCCACCAATGGTTCATATCGTCGTCAATGGGCTAATTCTATATCTTTTTTGATTAAACAACCTCTGCGGATTTTTTGGTGCCATACGATAAATCTAGCTTTTACTTGGATTGACAGTATAGTCGTTTTCAGTCCACTATTCCGTTTGCTCGGTTTTTGTTTCTAGCATTCTAGAAACGATGCTGATGGCACCAGAATTTTGCGCCATTAATCATCAAAGCAAAGCTTCTGCACGTGTTACATACGAGAAAAAATTTTTACGGCAAAAGCTTCCCATTTCTATCGCTTCTTCAAGCTCTTCATGCAGACGTGAAGTAACGAGCAACAGTATGAAACTGTTGGCAACAAATTAGTCGATTTTGATAGTAAACTTACATATAAAAAAGAGTAACAAACAACGATGGTGGTTAACGATAAAGAAACGTGAGCAAACTGAACAGAGTGTTCAGATGCCGCGCTCTGCGCGGCCAGCCTCTTCTAGTCAGTTCTCGAATTCGCCCACTGAGCGATTAGTGGGGTGAGTACCACTCAGGGCTTGGCACAATTGGCACCGGGTCAAGCTGGACATCGTTTTGGGCAGAAAGCAAAGGGGATATTGTTTTTCCGGGGTCCGGAGCGGAAAAGAGCAGCAAGAATGCCGCCGGCATGCTGTTCATCAAACAAGCAACAGCGCTGTTTTCAGCCAAAACGCAATAATATGACACCAAATTTGGTGTGTGCATGGCGTTGGGGGGGGGGGGGGCCAAACTATGGCCCAAAAATCTGTAAAAACTTATGTGAACGAAAGATGTGCTGAACTTTTTTCTGCATTAGCTGGCACCATGCCGGCTGGATGCCAGCTGAGCTGGCACCGACACTTTGATCACATAAGATTTCGTATTTACATAAAATGTACATACACTTTGAAGTTTACATACAGAGGAAACAATTTTATAATGTTTTCTTTTCAGCGTTTTATAGCCATCTGAAAATTACTCGGTTTGCTCCGCAGTCAAAAAATTGGCTTTTTCTGCTTCTCAAGAAGTGATTCAACCACTTAGAAAGCTTAGAAAGCTGCAAAAAGTTGTTCCATGAAATCAACATGCATGAAAACCCTACTACATACTTTTACATAATCTAAAAATAATCACGGGTTTTCAAAAGAGGTCAAAGGGGACTTCGTACGAAATTTTGCAAGATCAAACGGGACTTCGTTTCAAAATTTCGCTGGTGCCGAGTCCTGGGACAACTATATGATACCGCTCATAATTCGTCAAAAAAGTCGTAGAACTGCGCTGCAGTGCGTCGGAGTGCGG